AGGAAAACTTTTTTTTTATTTTTTGTGCCTTCTAGAAGACCTGACAGTTGCATTAGAGCACAGGCATCCCTTGTTGTGTAGGATAAATGACTCATGGGTGGAGCACCTGCCCAGCCACAAACTAAAAATTCCATTCGCGCTTTGATTCTGTTGTTTATGCTGATCTCTCACAGTAAAGATATTTCAGTACTGATTGTTGAAAGAGGTTGCTCAGAATCTGTTTCAGAACAGATTGTTAGGCTGAATGTATAACGATTTCTCTAACCTCACATTTCAAGAAGGTCATCGTTTTCAGAATATTTCTCTTAAGCTAAGGTTTTCAGAGTTATGGGCTTAGCTCAAGGTGTGAATTTTGCAAATATTAAGCAAAAACAGTTTCGAGGGTTTTTTGCATAGGAAAAATTTTTCATTCTGTTACTAAAAATATAGATTGTGATTTTGTGCAACGAGCTTTATCACCAAACAGTTGAGTTTGAAATACAGTGCAGAAATAGCCCCTGTTAAAGACAAATACCTTTTGAGTGCTCTGTAGAAAACTGCTTTGAATTTGGCTAACCTTCGAGCACATTTTGAAAACTAGTAATAACTTTTCTGTAAGTTCCCGAAGTTCACAGGTTATTAAAGTTCTATTCTGCATTGGTGGAAGAGCTGGATAATTTAACAGCGTGGTGAAAAACATGCTGAGTAAGTTAGGAATGATACATAAATTTGGTAAAGTGCCAAGGGAAAGATGTGCTGGGAGGCACCTTACATACTGCACAGGCTCCGAAGTTTTCTAGAGTAACACTTCCTCTGGCATGTAGAAGCCATGAGAGGTAGGAACCCTGCTATTTGGTATTAGAAGTTCAAATACAATTGCAGGTATGGACTTCACTCACGCTATCGCTACTTATCCTATGTAGCACGACTCTGACTTCTTACAGCATATTTTTCACTTCAGAAAGTTTCCTGGAAAGGATTACTTGTTTAGTGAAAGTTTAAAGTCACGCAATCTCAAATCTGCCCTGTTTGCCTGTGAGTGTGCACAATCCAACCTTCAAACACATGAAAACACGGTGCCTCTCGTAACTCAGTAAGATAAGCAGAAAGTTAGGACCATCGTTGAAACATAGAATACGGACAAAACTATAAATGTTTCACTTCATCCTTTCATTGTCAATGTCTTGTAATTCAGTAAGACAAATTCTGTAATTGCATCCTACCGGTGAGCTTATATTTGCCTTGAATTATTGATCTTAACTCTAAAGTTTGCTGTGGGGTATGAAACTAGATAAACCCTTCGTATGGGTGGAGTTCACTATAAGTTAACAGCATTTGCTGTGGTAAACCATTTTGTTCATCATCTCTTTTTGCTGAAGTGAGTCCTCGGTGTGGTTTGGGTGCACCACTTGGGTAACTGCTGAAACTGCTGTGGTTTCAGAATAGGACCTGTTTTGCTTTTTTCTGAACTTTTTTCCCCTGAAACTATTAGCAGAAAAATCAAATAAGTAAGGGTTACAACTGTTTGCCTGCACTTTCATACGGCCATACCTCAAAAACGATGAGCAGTATTATGTAAAAATGTAACGTTTTCCAGTGAATGTACGATTAATGCAATCTCAGTTACTACAAAGAGTGTATTTTGCAATATTACAATTTTACCAATGTCCTTTAGTTCAGCTGGTGACTTTTTAATGTGGTTTGGGTATTTTTGCTTTACATTATAGAAATACTGTACCCACATTCTTGACATTAATTAAACAGGGAATACAAAAATCTTTGTGTACTTAAGTATACACTTACTGCACTGGGAGATTCATGCTTGGTGTAAGACAGCAAGTATGTCAGAAAGATAATTCTGGTGGTGTTATTACTAATTTATGACTAATAAGTGAGTAAATTCGAACCAAACAAATTTCTGCCAGGCCTCAAACCCATGTTTGCTGAGTGTGGCAGAGCAGAACAAATTATAAGCAGTGTACAAAGTGTAGGGAAGGAGGGCTCGTTGAGGACTCTGTCCTGAGTGCCAGGATTAGTGTACTCAGCATGGGCACAGCCCTTAAAATTGCTGTGCAGAAAATAAATCTGATTGTATAAGGCTCTCCCTCTTTCACCTTGTCTTCAGAATAACAAAATTATAGCTCTCTTCTATTCTTTAACACATGAAAAACTGAAGAAAATGGCACTCGGGGCGTAAAATGAAAATTTTCAGTATTATTAGCAGTAACTCTTGTATTCATGGTGACATTTCCTCTAGAGCAAAGTTAGTCTTTGTGATCTGTTGTAAAGATGAAGCACGAGAAACCCCGATGCTCTTTGTGTATGTTCCGAAACCACTAGGGGCTTCGTGCAAAAACATTAAACAGGCCACCTAGAAAAAACAGGTTTGCTGAGCAAATACATTGCAAACCCAGCGTTTGTATTAACGGTCGCCAATTCCACAAAGCGGTTTTGGCAACAGAAGATTTAACCTAAGAAGAGGGCAGCTTAAAATGGGTCATTTTTGCCTCTTATCAATCAAAATTGGTTTGGGGGCAATATTAGGTGAAGGATACAAGGGGGGATTTGCTTGCTAGTAACTGGCAATAAAGGGAGGAGGGAAAAAAAAATGTAGAGGGCTCTTGTTTTGCCTGGACCTTAAATGAGAAATGCAGATACTTTAATTCTCTTTGTAATTTAAAATAATTTAAATCAATTTGATCTTTTATCTGGAGAATTACGTACAAAATGCTGAGTTGCTCATCCCTAACCAGGTTTGCTTAGTTCCCCAGCACTGGATAGCTGTGACTGAAGGTGAGATCTCCTAAGGCCATGGTGAGGAGTGGGTTGTAAACCCATCAGCCTGTTTTAGAGAACAAAATGTGGCCTCTGTTGATAGGAAAGGCAGTTTGAAACTGCGGTGGAGGAGGGTCCATGCTCGTGGGGAGAGCAAATGCTGCTGGTATTTCCTGTCTATTTTGTCACTTCCTTCCATGAAGGACAAATGACTGGTCAGATCTGCCTGGCTTTAGACGTCCCAGATGTGGTTGCTAACATGGGTATCCATATATCCCCTCCACATCTGTTAACCAGGATGGAGCACGTACTGAACCATGGAAAACGGTACTGGAGTGGATTTGAACTTTATCGTCCAGCTTCAAGGCAGCTAAACCAGTGTGATTTCTAGAAACCTTTTCTCAAACCTCCTGGGTGTGATGGTGGAAGTTCCCTAGGCAGTCCTGAGTATTCTGAAGTTTTAAAAATGTTACAGATTATCTAATGTCAATCTCTCTTGGTAATACCTAAATCCATTGGCCTTTTTCTGGATGGAAGGTTTGCCTACAGGACTATGATCCCCTTGAATACTCTTAAGACTAAACAAATCCAGTTGTATCTCCTACTGCATGTGTCTTGTTCTCTACGCCACTTTCTGTCTGCTTGTTCAGCTGTGGACTTTCTTGCTTCACGTTTTCCCTGAAGCACAGTGCGTGCAAATGGTCTCTGTATTGCACCTGAGGCCCATGTCTGACATTAGCACTAACGAGATACAAGTCTGCATGATGCCTTCAGCTCCCCTGTAAATCTGTGCCTGGCTGAGTTTGAGGACTATGGGCCCCTGCACCCTGTGCAATCATTAAGGAGGTGCTCCAGCATGGTGTGGAGCCCATTGATGGCCGAGGGCTGTATGTCTGGCAAGCTGAGCAAGGGAAGATGGATTTTTGGCTGGCCCCTGGGATAGGAGAGGCTGAGCTGTGATTTAATGGCAGGGGAAGACAGGCTGCTGGATGGGTTACTTATTTAGTCCAAGTTTGCTGATCTTTATTCCTCTCCTTTGACAAAGGAGGATTTTGACAGATTTGGGCAAATGCTGTTCAATGTATGCCGTTTATAAAGTTCATGAGCTCCTACCAAAGTACCACTTCAAAAAGCTATCAGGCTACGTCTTAGACGTGCCAGTTCCACACTCTGAAATGTGGAGTTTTGACTCCATTTCTCTGTGCTTTCATAGTATGTGTAATCTGATGTGAATAAATTGTAGGATTCCTATTAAATTATAGTTCGAAGTATTGGACAGTTCAAAAAAGGGAGAGGTATTAATGCAAGTAATGTATGTAATTCAGGTTATTATGCAGGAAGCTGTAAACATTTTTTCTCTTAAAAACGTTTCCAGATTTTTCCTCTATCATTTGTCAAATACACATTATAATCCGGATTGTTCATCCAAGGAGTGTTTTCCCTGCAGGCTAGCTTGTGTACCTGTCAGGTACATTTAAAGAGAAAAAAAAATTGCATTTATCTGTTTAGTTATTTGACCTAACAAAATAGTACTTTTTGCGAGGGGAATTAAAAATTAACCACTGAGGTTCTATTGGCAACAAAATATATACAACCATTATGTATGAGTATACACAGTAGTTCATGTGATTTCGTTGTTTGCTGGGGTGGAATATAAGAACAAGCACCCTACGAAAGGCGGGTTGCGCAGCAAGCACCCCAAAACAAGGTGATTTCTTAATCAGGCTCTTTTCCCTTGTACGTATGGTGGTAAAAGGCTAAACCAGTTCCAGGAAAAAAACCCAGAATGCCTGCATTCTGTGAAGTCACAGATAAGTTACTATTTAATTCTATTTAACATGATTATTTCTCTTTAATGATATATATTTTTAAGTATTTTGTCTTTTATATAATCCCAGACGTAAACTTGAAATGTCTCTAACCCTGGAAAATGAACTGAAGTCATGCTTGTCAAATTCTTCTGACCAAATGTCTTCATATTGGGGTTTATCATTTAAAATCTTGGTGGTATTAATACTGTAAGTAAGAGAATAAATCCATTTAAGTAAAACAACTGTTTGGGATTATTTGCTTTGAGAAATGCGTACCATTATATTTGGTTAAATTTTAAACCACCCAGGAAGAATGGATGATGCTAAAGTGTATCAGCAGTTTCCTATTTAAGGGGGTTGCCTTGTCCATGGTAAGTAACTTCTCTTTTTCTCCTTTTGTTTTTGTTTGTTTTTTTTTTTTCCTAAACTTTCCAGGTAAAAGTACTCCTGTAAGCCACCTTGGGTCTTCAGATTTTCCCAAGCCCCATGATCCATTCCAGCCATTTGGGGCTGACAGCAGTGACCCGTTTCAAAGTAAAAAGGGGTTTGGGGACCCATTTAGTGGAAAAGATCCATTTGCTCCCTCCTCTTCAAGTAAAACTTCTAAAGACTCTTCCTTGGGGTTTGCAGACTTCAGCTCTGTAAGTTAAGTTCATTGTCTCTGAGCAAACCACTTTCTGCTCTGCTTGCAGCAATCTATTGGGTTTTTCTTTTAACTGCAAACCTTCTGTTCACTGGCTTCTGTCTCTTAGTACCTTCATGCTGTCCTCATTGTTTTTGTATTAATATTTCTGTAATAAAAAGGCAATTTTCAATAAAAAAAGAAGTTTCGTACTAAATTTTAAAGGGTTTACTTGCATTTAAATGATTTTAGTACAGTGTGCCTTTACTCACAAATTCTTTGTAGCAGAATCTGTGTATTGTTTTTGTTGCATGGAGGCTATTTTGTAAACTGATTTTTTGGGAGCCAATGATGTAAAGATTCAAAAAACAATTGTTGAAGACATTTACATAGCAATTTCACCATATCCTGAGAAGCAAATCCTTAAAGGGAAAGATTCCGTAAAGTATTTGTCATTGTTTGTGAAAAAAGTTCTGACAATCCTGTCACAATGTTTGCTGTATCTGATGGAATGTGGTCGTAAAGATACATATACAAGACAGAGATTGAAAATTTAACTGTTGAATTCTGTTCCAGTTACTGATATTGTAGAAAAGCCCTTGTTAGACAAAGAAACCAAAATTGTTTTGTAGAACCAATACGGAAACGTCCATACTGCACTACAAAAGACAGCATCAGAAGGTTTGAAAGCAAAGCCAAGTACCCATTCATTAAAAAAATATCAGGGTTTCTGAAAGCCTGGCTTTGTTTTTAGTGCTGGCAGGTACGTTATTGAATTGGAAATCATTGTAAATGTAGTAGTAGAGTGGTTCTTATTGCTTCCATGAGTAGATAGAAATCTGTTCCATCCACAGCCTCAGGCTTCTTCCTCCTTTCATGTGTTTTTGTTCTGTCACGTTGCCATGCAGTAAAATTGCCAACTTAATCTGTTCCTTAACTCCGATGGGCACAGTTCAGTGTTCAACAAGTGGAGACCTTTAAGCTGAATCTTTCAGGTTGCTTATTTTTAATGGGTTATCCCCTAGTTATTAGTTAATAGTGAATGTGTATCACTTTCCTATTTGATATTGTCAGTTGAGGTCACCCATGCATACTTTTAGCTGGCCTCAGTGCTTTAATTTATCTCTGATACTGAAGATGTCAAAGTTCAAGGTTGCTATGTATGCTTTACCACAGTTAGTACCAGCCTGTTGAATTTACACAGTTAAATTCTGTGATTGTATACGAAGTGGTGACATTCTTAATAAAAATAAGACGCAAAACTTGCTTTATCTGAAATTTCTTGAACAACATCTAATTTCTTCCTTCAATGAAAGACAAAGACTGGAACGGAATGACTTACCCAGCTATTGTCATCTCTCTTACAGACTGCATTTCTTAAGTTAAAAGTGCGGCTTACACTGAGTGATTGTATCAAATGATGAACCCCAATCTCTGATCCCCGTCCCAGCGGGTGCTTCAGTGTTAAATTTGCTGTGCCGTCAGGTTTTCAGGAGATGAGATGAACTTTAGAAGATAAGGAAAAAAGCAGGAAAAATTGGATCTTGAGCAGTAGCCACTTATAATTATTGTTTAAGTGGCACTTCATCAAATGCAATTAATTTTTTAATTGGTTTTGTGTGTTGCTTTCTACTGCTGTAAGAAAAAAAAAAAGACGTGTTAACTGAATTGGACTGAAAAGAGAGAGACTTGATCTCCATTCTTTTCAGTTTGTTGGTTTGGGTCTTTTTTTACTTGCCTATAACACAATTATGTTGCTACACTTGATAATTCCTAATCCTTCTGTATGAAGCTTTAAGTTACCTTGTAATCAGGAAGAATCTCGTGCTTGTCTTTGCCTAATGTTTGGGAAACTTTGCTCATAATGGAAATGAAAAGCAATTTTACTTACAGAAGGGTTTTTGACACGCTGTTTGGGTGCATGGAATCTGAGAACAGAATCATAGAATCGTGTAGGCTTGAATAACCAAATAACTTGATTTTTTTTTTTTAATTGGAATTATTTACTGTTGCAGAGAAGTAGCATGAGGACCTCCACTAGATTTTAGTAGCACTCTGGAAAATTTGGTGATTTTTTTTTTTGAGACACTGGCAAATTCATGCACCCAGATTTTAAGTATATTCTCATTGCATTCTTAACTTTTCCGCTGGCATTCAATCCGACTCTTTGGAACAAACCAAAGTCTTTTGGTAGCTCATATTTCACGTATCCCTAAGTTCCAGCTTCAGCTTACAGAACAACAAGAAAAGCAATCTTTCTGCCAACAGAAAGCGTTTAAATTTCCAAGAAACAGAGCACTTAGAACTAAACTGAAGTTCTAATGTAAGCTGGTAATTTAGTAAACACAAGTCAGTGTAGCTTTTTATGTGTTTGATTAGCTTGGCTGCAGTCTGCTGTTTTCCTCAATGATGCCTTGGGTCTAGCTGTACTGCTGAAAAAGGAAAAAAAAAAAAAAGAGGTTTTTAATGAAATGACAGATATGTGATACATTATTTATAGACTTCTTTAAACCTGGACATACGCAAAGAAATTGGTATTGTGTTAAATGGCTTGTAATTCAGTTACTTCACCTTTTTATAGACACTCTGGGCAAGAATCAGTGGCGTTAATGAACTGCTTTGTATTTCACTCTCTAATGGTCAGGGTTATGCTCCTGAAAATTCTACTTCATGCTAACCATTTGTAATAAGGCACATCCAGATTTGTTTCCAATGAATCACTTGCCTATTTTTCCTTTTTTTTTTTTCCCCCCCCACTCAGCACTTTTAACCACAAAAATATAACTTGTGTACCATAAACAAGTCATAATTGGGACTCTCATAAGCTTTGGAAGACTTATCCTAAGATGTAAGCTATATAAGTAAAACTCTTTTTCTCAACATTTAAAAAAAAAAAAACAAAAACAAACACCCCAGGGGTTTTGACCAAAGCTTATTGTATTGCTGAAAATAGTAACTGTTATTCTCCATCCCAGCTATATGATCTTACTGAATTCTTGGGATAAGTGGAGAAGTCCTACTTCCATTTGAGTCTCTCTCTACTGTATCTTGGGAAAAAAAAAAAAATTAAAATCTTAGTGAGCTGTTAAATCTTACCTGTCAGCTGACTTTATTTAAATGTGTGATGATAGTAAGCTTTCTTAATTCTAAAAGTCAAATATCATAAAATGCGTGGCACTTTTGTTGTATTTCAATAACACTGAATGCAAAGGTTCTCGTCTAAATTTTGATAGCAGTGAAAGCAGAGGTGGTTTTTGAAGAAAAGCACTTTTAAAATAGTCCTCTCTTTTGAATCAAATCGTCTGAAAAATCATATTGAGGGAAATAAAATGAGGAATTGGGAGCATCCAGAAGCACATAAAGTGTAATTTAACTAAATTATGAGTAAATGAGGATTGGACTTGGGTTGAAAGAAATTCATATAGACGCATTTATTTAAAAAATATGATTTATAGATACAATGCAGAGCAGAAACGGCAGGGCTGTCACATAGTATCCCGGCAGCTAGGCGTAGGTCTAGCACTTAAAGCTGCATTTAATACTCAGTTCAATATTTTAAGCCCGTCTGGGAAGGTGCAGCCGTAGCAGCTAGTGCCGTGGCTTATTTTGCTGTGCTCAGAGTTACTGTGCTGTGGACCGCAGGGCAATTTTTGCAGTATACATTCAGCTGAAATTGAAACTATGAAAAAAAAAAAAAAACACCAAAACCCCAACCCCAAATAATATGTTTTCCTGACCATTCCAACAAAGATAGTTCCAAAGTAACTTTTAGAAGTGGGATATAATGCAAACATTTGCATGCAGCTGTGCGAACGCTGCTGTTAACATCCTCCTCTTCAGCAAATGCTAAAATTAAACAGTAACAGATGATATTTTAGTTCTAAATTGTTATGATTTCAATAAAATATTTTAGTATTTTGTGCAAAAAAAGTTCAAACAAGCAAACTTTTGCATGCTTCAGTGGTAAATACTGGAATATAATTTTGGAATAGTTTTGCTGCAGTGCACTTAAATGTGTTTTGGGAAGCTCAGGCAGGCTGAGGAGCTGAATGTTAGAGTGTGTTATATTGCCTTCCTGTTCTCTGCTGAAGTAAATTGGATTCTCTCACATTATGTCTTACTGGAAAAACTCCGCATGTATTTTATGAACAGGAACGGAAGCGCTTTTTGTAACTTTTGATTTGGTGATGAAACTTCCCACAAATCGGCAGTCTCTGGAGTCATTATTAAAACCCCTCGCCCTTAGCAGGAAATACTACAATAAAACTCTCTGCAATGGAGTTGCACAAGAGTAAATAACTCTAGTTTTTACCAGCGATTTACTATTCTTAAAAATGGATGGAGGCTGCTCTGCTCCCAAACCACTAACTTGCTTTTTTTGTGTTTGTGGAGTTTTTGTTTGGCTCCAGTCCCCTGGCCACTTTCATACACAACTGAGACACGGATGCAGGGACATGCAGCCCAGATGGGTTAGTTTCCTGGTGGGAGGAGGAAGAAATTAAGGAAATAAATTAAAGGATGAAGTGAGGAAATCAGTGAGTGAATTTTTATCTTAATCCAGAAGAACTACCCTAAGACAGCTTGGTATACTTGATTGATATATTTAATAAGTCTGATTCATTGTATTTTTCACATAATTTCTTCTAGCTTTGTGGTAAACTTATTAATTTGTTTTCCATTTTCATTTTTTAGTTTGGAAATGAAGAACAGCAACTGGCATGGGCAAAGCGCGAGAGTGAAAAAGCAGAGCAAGAAAGACTAGCTCGATTGCGGAGGCAAGAACAAGAAGACCTTGAGTTGGCTATTGCACTCAGTAAGGCTGATATGCCAAACTCTTAAATAGAGGTTCTTTGGCTCCACCCTGTCCAAGTGAAACCTTTAAACGTGGCTTTTATAAAAATATGAAATTCTTGGTTTATGTTGTGAAAATAATTTTAGTCACCTTCAACTCTAAACAAGACCGGCTGGTTACGTCAAACTGGGCTCTGTGTGGCTTTTCAAGTGCATAATATGCAGGAAACACTGTATAAGCTGTATTATATGTTCTAGATAAAATTTACTGCTTGTAAGAAATTTAACGTATGATCCTAAGATACTGAAAGCAAAGTTCTTTATCTGGAAGACAATGTTGCATATAGTAAACTGCAACTTGCGCATCTGGCTTTTTATTACCTGGATTCCATTGGTTTTTTGAGGCTGCAGTATGAATTTCAAAGAAAATGTCATAAAAAGATAATATTTATAGAATTAGCTTTCACTTGTTATATTTATTTAATAATTCATGGTAGGCTAATCAGCGTGTCATCTGTGTCATCTACGTCAAAGTCTTCAGCATAAATTCATTATCCGGTGGTCCCTTTTTATCCAGGAGATGTGGCTTTTACAAAAGACTCTGGCAATTTATATATGATGAATACAAGCGTAGTGAACTGTATAAAATGTTACCCATTTGAAGCCTCTATGAATGAGTAGTTCTAATTTAAACATCTGTTTGCGTTGAGTTTTAATAATTGTACATGATGTTGTAAAAGAGGGAGTTAATTCAGTTGTAGTAAATTGGGCAAAGAATTTGGCAATTAAATCATTAGGCAAAATCTTGCTTTATCTCACCGGCAAATATGGTTGCAGGATGGCGATACAAGTTCGCGTGCTGCTTTCCTGTAAAATCAAGCAATGGAAAACTTACTGAGCCTGAGCAGCGTTCATCCCTACAACTCATTTTACCCTCTTTTGCTCCAGCCGCCAGAACATAGACCGTGTGATCTGTGTTACCCAGCTGACTGCGTGAGACGGTCTTTACCTCTGTTTCTTGAATTCCACCTATCTTATATTACGGGGTTACAGATCAAACGTAATGTAGCTGAAATAAGGCCAAGTTGAAACAGATTTTATTTGCCAAATACATGTTCATGTTTTATATATGTTATAGAAGCACTGGTAGACTGGATTGGCTTTAAAATACAGCTTGCAGTAGTAAGTCCAAGTAGGAACAGATTTTATATACACCTGCAGAACTCGGTACTTCCACCTGGTAAGGATAACACACAATGTGTTTTATGTGTCATATATAAAATACGTCCTTATGATAAGTCTGTGAATTATTTGCTTACTAAAAATGCCTTTTCTGATTACAGGAATTCTAAAACTTCAGTTGTCTTTGCCTTGGACTTTTATGTCTAAACAGAGTAGGCATCTAGCACAAAATTTTTAAAACGTCCTTAATGTCTATCTGCTTTCCCGTCCCTGGTTCTGTAGGAATGCAAAGCTTAACAGCCTGTGTTCCTACTGATGCAACCCTTAGGACATTTTCTCAGTTTTTCTGAATATGTGGTTATTCCTTCATCGTCATTTGTATTTTTTATGTCCTTGCTTCCTTACTTTTATTTTTCATAATACAAAGATAGTGCCTGCTCACTGAATGAAAACAATCTCTCCCCATTCTGTTATAATTGCCTTATTCTGGATGCTCTCCTTACACAGAGATAAGAATCAGATTGGATCATTTTAATCTCCTTGCTAGTTTTCAGCTCTGAAATGCAGCTAAGGTGTGGCATTTGGTGTCTCAGGCTTCTGTGGGTAGGTATACGGGCGCGTGCGTGTCTGCGTATGTACGTATACGCACACATGCGCACCCATCCTATGCCTATGCAGCAATACGTACGACAAAACTGAAACCCCGTATCTCAAAAGGCAGTTTTAGGAGTCACAGTTCCCTGTTTGCTGTGTGTCTCCTGTGCTGATGGCACTACAGATAATGTGAATCTTTAATTCACTTCAGATGGGAAGAAGATGCATTCTAGTATCAAAACCAACCCTATAATGATCTTTAATGCTGTCCTTTCATGACCCATTTGGAATGCAGGAGAAGATATTTCTAATTTTACAGAACCTGATTTGAAATCCCTTCCTATTGTGGTAATTTTTCTCTAAAATTTGTTAAATGAAATGATCAAACATACTAAAATGTCAACAGATTCTCTCTCCTGTTGGTGTACAGGACTTGAAGCCTCCAAGAGCAAACTCGGGTCTGTCTATAGCTCACATTAGGTAAAACTTTTGCTATGAAAGAGCAATTTCAAAATGGAATGGCTGCAGGGATTCTCAGTGAGGTTAAAACAAATTATGTATATGTGCAAGATTCTCCTTTTCATTTTCATGTGGGCCTGAGTCTTTGTGGTGTCTCTTCTGCAAGAATAAAACCCCATTCATACGTAGTGCCGTTTTAGAAAGGAAAACCACTTTTGGACTACTACTTGGGTGATGTCACTCCGGTGGGAGGGGGTGGATGAGCTAAATAGCTTGATTCATTTTTTGAGTTATGCACCATAACAAGGCTTTCTGCTGCTTTGTCAGTGCTCTAAAATAGCATCATTTATAATGCTTCTAAGGCAACGAGTCGGTTTTTTCAGCAGGAAGCCAGAAATTTGAATTAATCTAGCATTCCATATCGTGTTAGAACTCATTGCTTATTTTCCTGTTTCCTTATTGACTCATTCTTCGTATTTGCTTGGACAGTAACAGAAGATCCAGCAAATGAACAAGGCCGGAGCATGTCCTCTACACACAGTGTATTAGCTTTAGTAACCTTAGGTTTACTGAAACACTCTGCATGTGTCAAAATTTTAGACACTGCAGTAGACGAACCCTTAGCTGTGATTTCTCCCCATTGTATCAAATACAGTTTTCCATATAAAAAGGAGGATTACCCACGTTCTTCTCTTACGCTCGTAACTCGGTGTTCTGTATAATACCTGCACTTGTTCTTCTAAGACGAAACCTCTGTCGCAAGACATCGATGATCTTCTTCCTCCAGAACGGTGAAATTTAAAGCACAAATAGGCCTAGTGCTATTTGGGCAGAGAAAATATGTACAATGCGAGCTAGACGGAATGTGAGTATACACAATGCATATACAGTGTACATTGAGATCCATATTATTTGTGTCTACGTGTGTATATATATATAGTGTATCGTATAATGTAATAATAGTGCGTGTATATACTATACATGTCCACATACTATGCCTAGTATATAGCTACTTGTGCTGTACATAAAAGGTGTATATACATTGAATATGTAGAATATGCATATATATTCTATATATTAAAGCTTGTCTGTATGTATGTATTCTCTAAACAGAGATGGATACAGAAATGGAATTTTTACAGAAATGCAGATTAGATCACGGCTCTTAGAATTTCAAAGTTCTGGTGAAAGAAAAAAAAAAAAAAGGAGCAATGACTACTTTAATAAATTTGTTTAAAGATCCCTTTCATTGGCATGAGATGCTGTTCACGAGCTGTGCCAAGTGTGAGAGAGAAACCTGGCAGAAAGTAGGTATCATCTGCACTGGATGTGATTTCGCATTCTTTGGAGTTTTTAAAGTGTCTTTTTGAAATGTAGGCTCAATTTCTGACCTTCTTGCATGTGATGGTCATGTCATCTTTTTTCCTCTAGGCTGAGGCAATGATTTTTCTCCAACGTTTGCTTGTAGTTTCACTTCTCTTTCTTTTTTTCCCCCCCTTTTTAAAAAAATGTGTTTAAGGAGCTATTCCCATACACACCTGCACCCCAAACAGTCGCACGCTAAGGTGGAAAACATGTTTTTCTTGCTTCATTCCAGTTATAGAGGTTGCACATAATTGTCATCTGGATTTCAGCTCTGGTTTTCCTCCATTTCCACCTAAGCTTTTACTTCAGGAGGAATGACTGTCCGTTGCATTCTTGGCTTTGAGGAAAGGATGGAGGTGATTCTGCTTTCTACTCAGATAAATTATTAGACTCCGTCCTACATTGAGCAATCCCAAAGAGTTTAGTAGGCTTTTACAGCGGCACATGTGTGTTTTATACAGTCTCGTCACTGCTGGAATGACTCATGGAAAACCATGAATTGCACACAGCACCGAGGCACGGCAGTTAGAACAGGAAAGACGGGCAATTATTCACGTCGAGCCGACGCATGCAAACTTTGCGTGTAGGACGCAGGTATTGAATTACCCACATTATCCTTTATAGACCAGGATGTTCACATTTGCCTCGAGTGGTTTCCCTACGTTATATTCAAATCGCCCTGTTGTAAAACATACCAGTCGTTCTGCAATAAAAACAGATGCTCATAAAAGTCATAATTCTACAATAATGCTGTATGAAATATTTTTATATTGGCAAATTTTTCCTGATGCAATCTCTGCCCTGTGAGGATCATCAGTCCTTACTGTATTTCGTTTCATGTCATGTGCTCTCAAAGTGTAGGAAATCCCAAGCTGGGTCTGACTGTGGAACCTTTTTTTTTGTTTGTTTTAATTCCTGTCTGTGAAATCTGTTGTCAGAAATCTTTTGTAGAGATTATTTTGTCATCTTCTGCTCAGAGATAATGCACTTTTTCTTGGATTCTTCTTATAATCCTTTTGGGGTTACTATTTCTTCTTTAGTGTTTCTCCATTGAGAAGAGTATTTATTCTGTAGAACCGAGGCCCAGGGAAGTTTGGTCCAAGTAGAATTGTTGCTTTCCCTCGTGTCAGAGTTTGATTTCTCCTTTCTTCCATGTTTTATTCCTCCCTCTCAGGAATTTCATTTCTGTTTAATCCTCATTTAGAGTTGAAACTCTGGTTTGAAGTGAATTGATCGGTGCTGGTAATGATCCAGCTCAAATAGGTTCCGACGCTGGGGGAACAGCTCGGGTTTTGTTGTGTGTCAACCATCGCATCTCTCGGTAGACTTCACTCCAAACATCTTTTCTTAGAAAGGAATTTTGCTTGGAGTATGGTGGAATCCTAGAAGATTTATTTTTAGAGTAAATATGTTAACTATTATTCATTGACACACCTGTTTTCTCAGTCAATATACTGCTCTTTTTACTTGAAAGTTTTATAAATAAAGGCTAATTTGTTATAAAACGGAATTTTCATTTTTCCAGCTTCTGCCTTCCCTTTTAAGTTTTACTTTAAAAGCAAAACTCCCAGTGAGTGTGGTTCCTTTTGCTGTTACAGTTCTAGAGTGCTCTTCTGGTGTCCCTTTTAATACGACTTTCTTCCGTCTGACCTAAAAAAGGTGGAAAGGACAAAGTGGAAACTGCAATGTTGACCTAAATTTGACTAATATCTCCAAATCTGTACATTATTGTAGTTATATTTATCTTTCAAATAGCATAACAAATTGAAAGGTATTTTAATTTTAACCCATCTCATGTGTTTATTGTTTAATATAATAAGAGAAATGTTATTGTTTAATATAATAAATGAAAAGTTACTTTTTGGAGCGCTGAGACTTCGGCAATCTTTCTTTCCTTTTTTTTTTTTGTCCACAATTTCACAAGCTTTTATGTCCAATTTGTGACTCTTGCTTTGAACAACTACGTTGGGATCTTTTTTTTTTTTTTTTTTTTTTTTTTTTTTCTCTCCCCTTTTTGGCTGGTGCCCTCCGTGTTTTCCCTTCTCTCCTTCCCCTTCTTCCTTGTTCCCGGCCACATTTGGGCTGTACAGACCAGTCAGAAAATCCAGCGCCGCACCCTTTCCAAAACAATTTGTGTGCTGCAATGCTAAACATCCAGGCAATTTATACTGGGAGGGGTTAGAGAGATCACCAGAGACAAACCCTTTCTGCTTGCTGGAAAAACACCCCTCGCTATCGCACTATTCGACGCTCTCTGCTTTGACTCGTTATTCCCCCGGCTGTTTGTTTTATTTACTTGCTCCTGCACATGTTGGCATGGTTAACAACACAGCGCCAAGGCAGGTTTCTCTTGAATTTGCTCTCCAGCAATATTTTTAGTACGTTGACATTTTGAAGCCAGGATCTGACTGCGGTGGCTCACAGGCAGGCACAAATTCCTCCCCAATTTCTCCCGCCGTGTAAATGCTCCTCTTCGCTTACAGCTCTGCGTTTTGCTCCCGCTCAGGTTTTTGGACTCTGACAAAGGGGCAGGCATTTGGGAAAGCGTTCAGATGAGAACGATCTCCCTCGCCCATGCCTGATCCGAAAGGACTCCCAGTACTGGGCATCTTGTAGAGGCCAAGAGGGAAGAAAAGCGTAGGCATCCTGTTCCCAAAGAAACATTTGCAAGTGGAAACTGGAACATAAAGCAACTCTAAGCTACAAGCCCAGCTGTTAAACCTCAAAAACAAATGTAGCATTTGTGACTGTACCTAAATACAACCCGAGACCGGCTTGCGCTGGGCAAGTCCAGCTCTCGGAGCCCTTGCTGCCATCCCAGTCATATTTTTCTTAGGAAGGCGCTACCAGGAGAAAATTGCTGAATCTCCTGCTGTACGTGACTATCCATTTAATCGCTCTGAGCATCTTTCACCTCCTTTCTGGTTAGCATTTTTTTAACGTAATGACCGCAATTAAAACTTTTTATTGGTGCTGATACAGCATCTCTTACGCATGCTATAGCGTTCCCGATTGATGAATTCTCGTAACGCTGCCAGCTGCAAGCAGAATACATTTCTGCTCTTTAACTTCCCATAAATGTTGTCCTTAATCTCAGCTTTTCAGAAGGAAACTGTACAGAAGAGCAAAGCGCTCTCTGTCCATCCCTTGCACCCGCAGGAAGGGCACCCAGGCATCCTATACCCCTTATTTTGAAAATGCTTGTGATATAAAAGCATTAATATATCAAAACCCACTCAGGCTGTCATCGTGCATGGGCCGTAAAAAAAGTGGTTGCTGGGATTTGAGGAACTTTTGTGTGTGTTTCGTGTGTAAGCCTCAGGCTCAGTAGCTTCTCGCTTAACATCAAATGTCATGGGGGATGTCCGATGTGATATTCCAGATGTTTCCTGATGATATAATGATAGGTCAGAACGCCAGGAATGCTCTGAGCTGTAAGAAGTGCAAGAAACCAAAGTAAACGTGATTTAAAGGGATACCATATCTAATTATAAACCTGCATGTTCATCTGCAATTTCTGTGTTGCTGAATTTACGCTTGCTACAAAGGGCAGAATGCTTTTGATTTGCTAAAAGGAATTATCGTTGAGGCAGGTGAATAAGCAGGTAGCTGATGCTGACTGTGGCTACAGAGTACATGAAAACTTCGTTGTTCCTGCTCTCCTTGTGCTTGGAAAGGTGGTTTTGGTAAAGTTAAAACATCTTCATTTCATAAAGCAGTGCATATGACTCATTTTTTTGTGTCTACATAAAATATTGTAAGATCAAATAATTGTGGCTGAAAAGTCAGACCTCAAAAGATTAAATCAAACACATTTTTTGCCTAACAAGTTCAGGATACATCCTGGCCCCTGTGCACTTCAAGCACTGTTCCATGGCAGAGGCTATTCCCAATCTCAGCCTAAGTGACGGGGAATTGGTTGTTGGGATCAAATACTACGGAGCTTCACGGAGTCTCTGGGAATCAGTAAGTTGAGCCAGTTACCCCCGGGGCCCGTCAGCTGTGCATGGCTACGCGCTTTACTGGTGTTTGGCTTGTAAATCTCTTCCTTCTCCTCCAAATCAACGGGAAGCACGTTCCTGAGTGGAGATGTGCCTAAGCCTCGGTCTTCAGTCGTGGCAGAGAGGGGCTGCTGCGGCCCCAGCCGGTTTCAGGAGCTCTAAGTGCTCTGCTCTCGGCACGCAGGATGAGTCCTGGGCAAGTGGGACCTGTTACAGACCCAGCGGAGAGCGGCCGCTTCAAGGACACGCAGGAATTTGAAGGTTTGTAGGTGCCACCAAGCACGTTTCGGATGTTAGCAAGGGTGGGGGGAATAGCTTTCTCCCTGTTAAATTAGATGGGGTTTGGATTGAATTTTCCTCTATGTTTCCCCCCAACACTGCTAGTAACCATAGCAATGGCTACATGACTTTGTAGTAGTTGTTTTATTTAAATATAGCAAAAGAAATTGCTAGAGCCTGGGATTCTGGCTTCGAAAATTCAATTTAAGAAAAGCCTAACAGCTACTCTGTGTTATAGGTGCACAAAATAGCTTTAGAAACCACAGAGCTTCTACCACAGAAAACCACAGAACCGCACAATCCTATAATTTGAAGAATGGACAAACTTTTTTTGGCACTTCTTGTGGATGAAGGACCAAAGTTTAGAGCAAGTCAATGTTTTCAGGCAGTTTATAAACGGCTGTGAGTAACCAAGGACTCACGCAGGCTGAAATCCCCCCCCATCCCTGCATGAGGTGAGCTATGGCCAAAACTAAAGCTTAAACTCCCCCAGCCGTGATCACCTGCAAAAAACCTGCAAATCTAAAATGAAATTCCTGACAAGCCGGAGGGGTTTCTAGTCCAGCCTTCCACTTTAGGGGTGAAAAAAAAATCGATTTGAAGGCGCCCTGCCTGCATGCTCACAGGGTGCTGGGCTGCTTTGCAGGGTGCTGTGTCTGCCTCCAGAGTTGGAAGGCGACCGAGCGGCTGCAACGGCCCCTCGGGGCGGCAGGACGCGGTTCTGTTCTTGGTGCTGTTTCAGCAGCAACAGCCTCGGCGTTACGGTGTTTTCTGAAGCCGAGTTCCCATGTAGTAGATTTAACTGACTCTTCTGAAGTCAGCAGGTGAGAGAAAAACCGTTTTCAGCGGAGCGAGACACAGCGCTCTGAAACCTGGTGTGGAATTAACTGACTTGAACCAGCGACTCCTCTGGATGGTGTCTCGAGTTCAGAAATATTTGCTACAACTTTCACTAGGAACATTGTGCAGGATTTGCTAGTTTCTGTACTTAACGCGCTCTATCTAATCTGGCGATCTATCTTGCAAGCATAGTGAGCCCATCACTGTGGTATCTTATAAGAATATGTGTGAAAATCTTGTTTACAACGGACTCTACATTTCCTCCTATCGGGTTTAACTACAACTTCTTTTTTTTTTTTTTTTTTTCTTTTCCTAGTGTGTCAAAATCAAATCCAGCGTTGCTGCAGATTGAAAGGGCAGGGCTTCGCCCCATCCTCCCTGGGAGGCATCTGAGATGCTGGCTCTTTGGTGTTAATTAGAACAAAATTACTTAAAAGCTGACGACCCGATGGTCTGGAAAATGTTGCAGAGCACTGGTGATTTCATGCTGGCCAGGGGAGGCTTGGTAGATTGGTGGAATCACATCGCCACATCTTTGGATGTACTAAATTAAGGTAATTAAAAAAAAAAAAAAAGAAAAAAGAAAAAGAGTTGACAATTACTCATAATTGAATGTGAGAAGAATGAGATCAGCATCTCTTTCTTTCTGCTACAAGATTATCTCGAGATTCGAGAACCTGCAGTTTCCTGTAAAGACCACACAGAAATTATCGTATATGCCCTCCCTTAAACAATTAAAATAAAGCTGGTCACGAGCTTTTATTAGTGTCTTGTGCCCCCCATCCCTCCCCCCTTTCAGAGGCCTGTATTTTTATATTTTTGGAGGGGGGTGTATGTATATTTATATGGAAGAGCATGGCTTTGCCCTATTTTCATTTGAGTTGCAGCAAATCTAAAAGCCCAGAGGGTGCAACCTGCTGATTTTTACATTGTGAACAGCACACAGCAGAGCACGTCTCCACCGTTCCTCGTGCGTCGAGCACTGTTTGGTAACACGGTACCAGTCCGACAGCCACAAGTGGCTTTAGCTGAAGACCTTCCTAAGGACCAGGGCCAGAGGGAGCTGAGGTTGTGACCCGAGGTTGTGATCCTTGCAGCGAAGCTGTTTGCTGGAGCAACGGGAAGCTTGGAGGTACTGGAGGAGAGAGGAGGAGGAGGAGGAGGAGGAGCACCCGTGCCATTGCGGTGGGTGCTGCAGAGGAGCCACACAAGTGTGTTTGGTTTGTTTTTTTTTTTAAGGGTTGCTGAATGCAGTAACATTTGTTTCTGCGTGCAGGCACTGTGCTTTGGGCCGGTTCACTGGCTGTAGCTGTCTTTCACCCTTGTCATTTGGGAGGATACAGAAGTGGCCAGCCCAAAGGGCCACCCAGCCCTAGCAGAGGTCACCAGAGATGGCTGGGGACGAGCAGAGTCAGAGAAGCATGTCGTGACGCTTCCAAGCTCTCCCCCACTGCTGGGGACCTTCCTGAGCCAGATGTGGGGACCTTCCTGAGCCAGATGTGGGGCTGGGCACGGAGGGGTGGCCGTACCCCTGCAGTGAGGCATCAAACCTCTGAGTCTTTTTTAATTCCGTTATGAAAGAGGGGCCTAGCTTAAGATTGCACTGCATCACTGGAGCCTGGGAGTGACAAAACCCATGTCCAGTTCTTCAGAACGAGCAAGGGAGAAGCAGGTGCCTATGGA